GGACACCTGCAAATGCAGTCTTGCCGAAGACTATGTAAACTGCTATTGCACGCACAACAATGTCTCTCAGTTCACACAATTATCAAATACACTACCTTTGCCAATACCAAGCGGCTTGGTCGCTACTGAAGGACTTAACAGCATACCCACAATTAGAACAAGTACACTGTCAGCAGAATTAATAATTCTGTTGGACCCACTCACAAAAGGTGTAATACAAGAAATTGAGAATTTCCAATGTAACATTCTCTCATACCCACTAATTGGATGCTACAATTGCCTCAAAGGGGCACAAGCAACAATTTTTTGCGAATCAGATAACCAAAAATCAATCGCACAAGTAACTTGCGACCACCATCAATTCACACTTACTTGCACTAAATTCGGTCAATACAACTACATCCTCTTGTTCTTTAATAAAGCCAGAATCCATGAACTATGCCAAGCTAAATGTGGTTCACACACAACAATATTCACAATACAAGGTACACTAAATTACATAAACGGGTTAACACCAATTTTGGAACTACATTAAACTATGGGACAACACATCAAACACAGAATCCTCTTCACTATTCACTATCGATCTCTCTCTTCCCGATCTCTCGCACTTCTTTCGCACTTGCACACAATTCCTCTTCTATTCCATAACTATCTTCTTTCTTCTTCTCAGCGCACTAACTCTAAGCCACAACCTCTTCTGCTCTACCAAACCACAAAACCAACAGCACAAAACAACTCTATCCAAAGTAATCTCCTTATTTCCTCCACTCCGCATCCTCCTCTTTCTTTTCTCTCTGCTGAAGCTTTTCATCTCAATCGCAACCAACATCCTACGACTTCCACTACGACTACTCGGTTCGTCACGACTACTACGCCACTAACGGACTACGAGTTCAATGCCTGCCTCCCGACACATCCATAGCAATACCTCGACCAGCAACTCCACGACTTCCATTGAGACGATACGCCATAATGTTAGGTTTGTAGTTTAGATTTGTGTTTTAAGAGAATTGTTAGTAGGTAACATTAAGCAGATATCGCTGTACCTTTTTTAATGTCAATCATTTCAATTTCTCATACTATACGTAAGCAATGTAAGGTTAGCGTTATGCACGGTTGGCCTCAAAACCTACCTAATCACATACACTTAACAACTTACAACTAAAATAACACTCAAGTGGCGGGGAGGATGCAAACGACAAATAATGCGTTTTCATCAACCTCTTCGTTGTGCGGAGTGTCATGACGTTTCGTCATGATGCGACGAAAGAAACCAAGGTGAATCCTTGACACGTCATCCTATTGATTAACTAACTCAAAACCTGCGTTCAAATTGCCGCTGGCCGCACTGCCAGTCCATTCCAACCAGCCATTCCAACGGACCGCCCCCTGGCCCGGGTATAAATACCACCCATTTCTGGGGGTATAAATAACGCACTCGGAGACTCCGGGCAGTCTTCGCGGTCTTCGCCGGTCTCCTCAACTTCTCCAGTCGTCTCCAGCGGTCTCCATACAAGCGACTCCGGTCGCACCAATAACCTAAGGCGGCAACGCCAGCAACAACCAAATAATCAATAAGCACAAAGCAATCAATAAGGTACAGCCAGTGGATCATCCACCGGCCAAGGCCACCAATCAATATCACTAACCAAGGACCACCAACTCACACCTCCAGCCACTATCGACCAACACCTTAAGGCACAAATCAATATTGAAGAACCCAATACGAATTCAGAGTAATGGCTAACCAACATAACGCTAACTAATGTAGGAAATAAATTGTATAAGTTGTAATATGTGTCAATAATTGCTTTAGGAATTGTGGTATAAGAGATGTTAATAAATGTTAGTATTTACAAGTGTTGTTTCAATAAAATAATTAATAGAAGTCGCATCATAGGGCAATCTACCACTCTAACTCCGAAACACTAACTTGCAACTGCGACTGAACGAATGTGAGATCTGTGTTCAAGTGGTCCACCAACTCCTGGGGCCAATTTCTAGAAAAATTCGAATTAACTTCAAAAAAAGTGGGCGAGTCACTCATTGATGCTACATATCCATAGCCGGTAGTTCCAGGGTTGACCTATTTTGGACGACGGCGACCCTTTAAATTTGAAAATAATAAAATGTGGGTGTTGAAGCTCTTATGACGAACGATATAATCGTATGCTATACGAAGTTATGCTCTGGCTCGACTTGTAGAAATTGTTGAAGTGTTGTTCTTGTTTGAGATCATGCTGTCGAAATGATATATATTTTCGTTCCTAGTCGCAAAAAAATTCATTGACAAACACAGTGAACAACAGCAAAAAACAATCACAAAGTCGGTGGCGATGGCGTCATTGTCGAAGCGACGGTCAGTATGGATTATGCTGAGTGTGGTGGTGCGTTGTTTTGATCCATGTATATCTTCCGTGTGCTGGTTGGTTGTTGGTTTGGAGTCGTCGGCGTTGTACTGGGCGCGGTTGTGGAGCGAGTAGCCGAAGTGGACCAAGAAGAAACTAACTAGCGAAGACTAATTTGGTGTTTCAACTCTTCTTTCCACTTCCTGTTTTCCCTTTTTTCTTTTTTTTTCTTTTTTATTCTTTTCCTTTCTTTTTTCCTTTTCTTTGTTTCTCGTTTTGTGTTTGTCAAAATGTGAGTAACACAAAGTGTGTCTAGTTGTTTTTTGACTCCTACGAACATGATACAATTTTTTTGCAAATATCTAATGTGGCACAGCCAACAACCCACATTAATTTCATATCTTAGCTTGTCAGAAAAGTTCCTTGCGCATTTTCTTGTTCGCTTTTGACGAATCTTTTGTTGATTCGGTTTTTGAACATTCATTTTAAACGCATGTGAGCGGTGGTTTAGATGCTCTCTCCACAGCATTTCTGTCGTAGCATTTCGCAGCGTCTCAAAAATCGTCTTTCACTGAAGGTATGTTCGACTGCTCCTGCCTTTATAAGCCCACAAAATGCGTCGATTGAAGCGAAGCAGTAGGAGTTCTACGTGTTGTGATGGACCTCCAGACTATCTTTCACAATATGCCAATTATTTGGTTGCCGAGTTCCAGATACTTGAGAAAAAACCACAAATCTGGTCGGCCTGCCATCCTCATTGACGAGTGTATTCTGAATTCGATTGGAGAGAGTGCTTAGTGCAATGCACGGTCGGAGCTCTTTCAGTGCTACCAGACCACAATGGCCGTTCCTCAATATCGCCTCTAAAAGAAGTGAAATTATGGCGAAAGGATATTTTGTGATCTGACTGACCACAGGCTATTAAGACCATAAAATTTTGCAAGGACATTTTGATTTGCCGCCCGTCTATCGCTTGATCCGCCAACTTTGTTGGTGGTGTCAAGAAGTGGGATCCTCAGGTAAACCGCATGCGAAAGCAGACGTAGAATCATCGTCGTTCACGACAGACCTCTCGCTTCCTGGTTTTTCCCACTTCTTCCACACATGCAAACAATTCTTCATCTACTCACTGACCATACTCCTCTTTCTTATCGACGCACTGATACTAAGTAGTATAAGTGGTAAGTCATAAGTTTTTCTGCACACAAACCTCTCAAAACTCACGTGAATCATCGAATCTCTGTACCCTCATCGCATCTTCGCCTCCACTGCTTGCGCTCTGCTTAGTTATCGCTGCTTTAAGGAGGCTCCTATCCGTCAATTCTCATCCTTCGCTTTCCCTTACGTCTTCTTCCTTCTCGCATCATCATACCTGGAGCCGTATGCAACAAGCCCCGCAGGTCTGAGGGGATATATCCCCTCAGTCGTATGCAACAAGCCCCGAGAGGGGATATATCCCCTCGTCGTATGCAACAAGCCCCGACGCCCGCGAGGGGATATATCCCCTCAGTCGTATGCAACAAGCCCCGCAGCACTGAGGGGATATATCCCCTCGGGGCTTGCATCCCGACGGCTTCGGCAGGTGCACTGTCGACGCGTTAGCGTCGCGGTCGAGCTAACCTCGGGATTTCGGTGATGAAATCCCCATACGGAGCAAATCCTGCCAGTTAGGATTGTCATTCTTCTTCTTGACGCTCACTTATAGGATAATTTCTACTTTATTATTTCGGAGCACTTTGATTTTGCGATATTCTCGCTTCGAAAGAAAGAAAACGGCTTCTGTAGAAGAAAACCTTCAGTGCATTCGCTCATAATCAGCACATCATCGCATTTCGCGGTGTCTTGTCGAATCCTAACTGGCAGGATTTGCCATATGGGATTCATCACGAAATACCGAAGTAGCCGACGCGTGCGACGCTAACGCGTCGACAGTGCCCTGGCCGAAGCGTCGCGGAGCAAAAAGCGCCGAGGATTTCCCCTCGGTCGGCTCGGGCTTGTTGGCATACGACTGAGGGACATATCCTCTGCTGTAGCATACGACGTGTCTTGCATACACGAGGGATATACCCCACCAATCCGGCTTGCATATGACTGAGGGGACATATCCCCTCTTCTTGTAGCATACGACTGTTGTTGCATACGACTGAGGGGATATATCCCCCCAGACCTGCGGGGCTTGTTGCATACGACTGAGGGGATATATCCCCTCAGACCTGTGGGGCTTGTTGCATACGACTGAGGGGATATATCCCCTCAGATCGCCGGCTTGTTGCATAACGGCTCCAGGTATGATGAGCGAGAATACGTAAGGATTAAAAGGAATCTTGCGCGGAAAATTCTTGCACTCTTTCCTAACATGAATATGTCAGTTGTGATCACTGGAAATAGCACACAAAGTTTCACGCATGAAGATTCGGTTTCTGAAGAGAAACAAACGTACAAAAACTACACGTTATGGACCATCGAAGGACCAGGAGGCAGAGCCAGGCGAGGCATGGAAAGAAGACGGCGTTTGGCCGGCTACGTACCAGGCGACGCAATGAGAGAATCGGGTTAAAGCGCGCGATTTCGGAGAGTGGAGACAAATCGATCGATGGAATAGGATGGAGTAGAAGTGTAAGATGTGAATGCAACGAAGCCAGAACTTCTAGTGAATGCACTAGTGAACCATTCGAGCATCCCCGTCGCCAGCATTCGTGAAAGACGTCCGTGGGCAATTCGAACGCGTAGCAGCCTTTTCGAGTTTTCGAATTTCTAATCAAAACGAAAGCAATACTTCAGTTCTTTTCACTATTATCGTGGATAATGAGTCTCAAGCCAGTGATTTATGGCTGAAATAGAATCATGATTTTTCCGCGCAAGATTCCTTTAAGCAGCGATAGCTAAGCAGAGCGCAAGCAGTGGAGAAATTCTATGAGGGAAAGATTCGATGATTAGCGTGAGTTTGAGCGTTGGGTTATAAAAATATATTACACTTATACTACTTAGTATCAGTGCGTCGATAAGAAAGAGGAGTATGGTCAGTGAGTAGATAAAGAATTGTTTGCATGTGTGGAAGAAGTGGGAAAAACCAGGAAGCGAGAGGTCTATAGTGAACGACGATGATTCTACGTCTGATGTACTGTCCCCCAATTTGATGTACTCCCAGAAGGACTTGATGCCGCTGATAGTTTAGGAGTTTGAAGACTGGGGGGTTAAGAGCACATAGCTTACAGAGTTTACCAATCCTGCTGTGAAAAATAAATTGTTTGGTTTAGCCAGGTTGGCAGATTGTATGAATAGTTACAGCCACAGATACTTGCGGAGATTGTCGATGTTATTCACTGAATTAGGCGCTTAATCCAAATTATAGCAGCCGGGAACTTGTTCACCAGATGCCATTTACATTGAATGTATTTCATGAATCGTGTGGAGCCAGCATCAACATTAGTCTAAGAAGGCATGTTCTAATTGCGGAAAAATTGTTCACTCATGTAGAAATTGACCACTCAAACGGTGTAAAAAAGAGAATAAAAAAGTAATCGGTAAAAAAGCAATGCATTTGGGAGTTTACTGTATATATTATTGAGTGCAGTACAATACTAATCTCGGCTGGCTTATCTGGTCTTGATGACGATCGTCAGAACTTGTTACTGGTGGAGGTGGAAGCAGCTAGTAACTGAATTGTACGTCTTGTTGAATATATGCGGTTATCTTCCCGTTGGTGAGAAAACGTTGGTCTAGGATTGATAGTTGAATGAATGTGAAGCTTGTGATTTCAAAGAACGTATTGGCGACGTTTTTCTCTGTATAATAGACAGTTCAAACGTTTGTCTGTACTGCCACTGATTCGTTTGAGTAATATCCGAACAATTGGGCAGAAGAACTCAACAAATGTCTTCGTAGATTGTCATGTATATGCGGTAGAAAATCATTCAGATAAGGTATATCATATGTGCCAACCATCGTCTCCTCAGAACCGAACAGATGTTATTCCTGATGGTATGCACTAGTCATGACAAATTCAGTTGATTTCGGCGACATCATGCCAGTACAGGTATCTCTGCCTGGCGCGTTTTTGGATATTACTTTATGATCCGTAATAGAAGTTTCTTACGCATCGAATATTGTGATGAGGGAGATCGCATAAGTATGTGTTACAAACATAAACAAACGGCCGACCTCCTCCGAACTTCGAGTGTATTGCCATCACCGCGGTTGCTCGACATGGGGCAGCCTCGAAACAATATATGACGAATGAGTCAGAAATCTCATTCGCTCCCCGTGAACTGAAGCCATCCCTCCAAGAAGGATATGTAAACAAAGAGCACTCCCGAGCATATGGACAACAACGGGTCCATTCCAAAAGCATTATCCACTGCAGCACCAGCTATTGCCTAACAATACTTGCTCATTGTACCGCTCAACTCTGAATAATGTGTGATTGGTTTATAATTATAGAAGATTCACTCAAGACAAGTCTTTTATTCGAAAGCACTTTATGCTTCAGGCCTTTCACGAACCTGCATTACATACATCATTTATACCATTATACACAAGTGATCAAAAAAGTCATGCACAATAAACAAAGTAAGGTCAAAATCCGGTTCAACACCAATTGCATGTCTCTAATGAAAGAGCGCGCTTAGAGTGTGAGTCGGGAAATGTGGACGGCATAAACGCGCAGCAGCGACGTCGCAGTGACAAGCAACGAACCGCCCCTGCAACTGCGACCGGCGGTGATTATCGCATCGCCGCGCCGCGAGCTGCAAACTAGCTTTTATGGCAACGCAGTCACATGTCCACCCCGCTGAATGGTTGCCAGGCGATTCATACGGAGGTCCATGTACTCTGCCACGAATCGGGATTAGATGGTATGAGATAGTCACTCCGGAAGTGAGAAAGAGGGGTTTAAGCCCAGGAGCTACATTGTCGCGACTCAAAAGTGAGCGGCAGCGCGCTCATGTCCTACCTTGTACATGGCCGGCGCTGCCGCTTGCGTGGCGCCTGTGCCCCTTACGTACGACTTCCTCTCGCGCGTTTTCCTCCTCACAACGCGTAACTCAATCATACAGCCCGACACCACCGGACCTTGATTCCTTTGCTTTTCTGGGCCACCCGCACCACGCGCCTCATCGCACTACTTGTCTGATTTTCGAACTAAATTTCACACCAATTTGATTGTGATCCGTGCTTTTGAACAAAGATTTCACGATAAGCTCGAGGGTCGAAGAAGGGGAAATATACCGAGTCGAGAGGCAGGTGGTGAAGTCCCTACTATTGGGAAGCGTTTCATGCAGCCAAGTGTTTGCCGGCAGCAGCCAATAGCACGGCGATACCAGCGGCGCTAGCGCCGCTGCCTCCACCTCGTGCCATCTCACACTAGCCGCTCAAAAAGCGTCAGCGTTGATGAGGTCAGCTACGATGAGACACGCGTAATGCGCTGGCAAAAAGACCCAGTCCTGGGTTTGTGACCGTTTCTTGTTTTCACCTGCATCACTGACCGGCTCTCTTTATTGCTAGAAAGCTGTTTTATCTTAAACTCTGCCGTTAAAGACTCATTGCAGTCTAATCGAAGTCGAACTAGAACTAACTAGAACTAGTCGAACAGTATAGTAAAATGTAGACTGTGGATGAGTTGCTTATCCGATATCTCATGACTGGTCGCACTTTGCGCAGATCCTTTGTATTTTCTAAAATGATGGTGTTGTATTTGACACAGCATGAGAAACAGACCGTTATCATTTCTCGCAGCGTAACCGGCAATCGGGCCCTCAAAAAGCAACAATTTCCTAAACGCACTATTCAACATAATGACGCGCAATTAGCACTACAACTGGAGATGAAATGAAAATGAAAAAAAATGAAATAGAAAATGTACATAACTTGCAAGTATTGCAAAACGTTCGACTCTATTTACCCTTCATGCCCATTTTTCGAAGCTTGTTGCTTTTTTCTGTGGGAATATCCCCCTTCGGTGAAATTCACTTGACATCTGTCCTCTGGGGTAGCCTCGCTGAGCACGAATATGTATAGCACCCTTTTGGTGAGAAAAATCTGTCGTCACTGCCGAAATACCCAGCAGACCAGTAAAATCACTGAAAATTCGTCCCCAGAAACATTTCACCTCATAGTAACGCAATCACCTTCATTCGGGTGTATGTCAACAGAGTCGCCCTGATCCCGGCGCTACTGGTCGTGACCGCGCCATCGCAATTGCAATGGATGACAATGACGAGTTTCTGTGCGCGTACATTTGAATTTGGATGTTAACACATTCACGCCGATGGCCGCCCATATGGGCTGCCAACAACATGCGCTCCTGGGACGATGGCAGCCCATATGGGCTGCCAACTGATAATCGCTTGCCAGGCGCTAGGAATGGACAGATAGGTGGGCAAACCTCGTAATCGAGTGTAAAATGCTTTTAAATTCCTTCACGGGGAAAGTGAATAAATGCTCTCTTTTCGTAACCACTATTTGTCGTTCTGATCGAAATCCTACTGTTATATGTTTAGATAATCTTTACGCATTGGACATTGCAGAAATTATTTTGTGACATTCATGTTTTTGTTCATTTACAAAACAAAATCTGCGGTTATGTGGTGAGGCGGCGGCGCCCACAAAATCGCGTCCGTCCCACGCGACCGAAAAGTGGAAAAGGGGCGTCGTCGTGAATGTGTTAAAGGACGCCAAGCTGGCCCTTCCCTTCAAGATTCAGCTTCATTCAGTCGCTCCAACTGTCAAACTCGAAAATCCGGCTTTTTGGGGAGGTGCCGCGTCGCGACGCCGCGAAGTAGCCGCACGCGGCGGCGCGACGAGCGGACGATTCTGCTGGCTGTTCCCCCATTCATTTGGTAAAAAAACGCTTAGCGCGTGCGCTACAAGCATTGACGCCCGTCGGCTTTTTCGTACACATTTGCACTGATCAATCGATGAATAATATGATATTTCATTGGAAAAAAATGTGGTAGTCATAGTCAGCGTACTTAAGCAAACCCAGCCACGAGTCTTTGGGATTTTGGTTGAGTACGTCGATTTGTCTGTGGCCCTGAGATGTCATTTTTGCACCAAAAGAATATATTATTCGTACCAAGATAGATCACCTCCCTGAGGCAAGTCTCCTAATTTGAAATTATAACACAATTTTCGAAAAGTGTGGCAGTAAGGGTTGAGAATTGCCAAATTCTAACATTCAATATTTGATACCTCATTATTTGTTTAATATCTTATTATTTGATCCCAAATAATAAGAAATGATACTAAGGATCATTGATCAACCTTTTCTATGGAAATGTAAACAACAAGTACGAATGAAAGAAACCGACGCGCTCTGTCACAGGAGATGACTAGATGAACAATGAATATAATAATGAAGACGCGAATATCTGCTTGATACACTGGAATATACAGCAGTAACAAAAATCATCTATACTAAAATACTAATGGTCTTCGCCTTCTAATCGCATCAGTTCGTCATAGTACTGATCGACATTCTGCCATTGAGGAGGTGTGTTTGGATCGATATCAATGTTATCACAGTGGAATTCTTCGAATTGACCTACGAATGGTACCACTGGGAGTGCTGAAACAGTACAATGATCTCCTTACTACCCGATGATTTAAACTTCCCCAGTAGATTTTCGTGGCTTAGCGAAACCCGAAAAAGGGTGTGGTGTGCTGGCTCGATGCATACCCTCCCTTTCGAAAAACGAGAAGAGCGTCGGGTGCAGACCATACACCACAAGTGACGACGGCCTCCAAGTAAATCTGGTTAGTAGTGTTCATAGTGATAGCTGATTTTTGGTAAATGATTGTTGTGGCTAGTGATAAATGATAGAATAATGAGTGTCTGGCTGGCGAAAAATATATCAGTCCCTCTATCGCTTACGCAATTTAAACATATCGCTTCCGCAATTTAAGCGCTTGGCATTTAAGTTCTGCTACGAAATGGTGGATCCTAATGTTTTTGAGTCTGACTAGCAATTATTTGTCATTAGTGCTAATCCTTACTTAAGAAATTACCCTGTTATTGTTGTATTTTCTCACGCCGTCACTTGTGGTGCGTGGTCTGCATCAGACGCTCTTCTGGTTTTTTGAAATGAAGTACAGCTTGCATAATCGTGATCGAGTCCCACGCAGGCTTTGCAAACATTTCGTCCACATAACGGTACATTCACACCAACTTTGCCACGGAGCAGTACCAGCCGAAAACTTTGTCTGTTTTCGCTAAAACTCATACCTTCGAGATCGTAGGACGAGAAATCACTTTGCCATGTGTAGTCCGATGACATCCCTTGTTCATCAGATGAGAATCCGACGTCAGAGAATGACGATTCAGAATGATCCATCTGCACAGATGAACCAGCGGGCGAGTTGTTTTCATCTGGAATCAAGCACCAAAAATCCCAAGGAATCTGAGATATCTGGAATCTACACTCAGAATCTAACTTACAGTTCAGAAGCACATTATCATCCCACACAGTAGCTCCAGCTTCATCAAATAAGGAAATATCTGAAAACGATCCGATTATTACTTCCAAATGGATTAAAAATTGCATAATAGCATGAGAATTCAATCCTGACGGCTGTAAATTTAATGGCAAGCACAATGATCAATTCAATTACCCTGAGGAGCGATAGGTTTCTGTTGGTTTCGAATCGAATCCATATACTGCAGTACGGCAGTGTTGACACGGGAAGTCGGCTTCGCAGGGCATTCCGCCGTTGTTTCGGAGACGCACTTGGTTCTCACTTTCTTAGTTGGAACACTGGTCGCAATGCCACTGAAGGCGTTGAGGTTAGATTGAAATGGAATTTGTTGATGTGATATGCTCAAGTGGTTGCAATACCTGGCATCATTCAGCTTCCAGTAGGAACCTTTTCCTTTCTCTCCATTTTGTCGAGGTATTCGCTTGAACAGCTGATTACAGGACAAGTTGTGGCGGATAGAATTCTGAAATCAGTTCTGCTCATTTGATACTAGAAGAAGTAAATGCAACAACAATAATTTTGTGAAAATCATAACGTCACTCAACTGTCAAAAACGTCGATTAAGTATGTAAAAATCTCATGAGTCAACAGAGAATTTTCTCGACAACTGTTACATTGGATACGGTATCCAATATTGTGAAAATTTGAGCCACAGAGAAAGAGGGTTCAAAGCGAGGGATTACGACAAGATTGGACTGGGCTCATGGTGAAAGTGTGGACGCTGAAGAATGCCCCATTAGCGAAAAAGAGCAAAGTCAAAGAGCAAAGTCGGGATTAAAGAGCAAAGTCGGGATAGAAGTAGTGTATTACGGCCTTGAAAATGACAGCAAAGATGTGAACTTTATCATCAGTAATGAAAAAACAGGAAGGAATCATCGATGAGGCCGAAAATGACGTCCTCTCTCTAGTAACCCCAAAAAAAGCAGCGGGATCCAATGTGATGAGTGCTGCCCATAAAGCATCCTTGGGCCTTACTTAGCACCTCAGCTTTGTTAAGTAGTGGCGCTCAGTGGTACATGCGCTGCGCATGTTAGCGGGGATGATAAAGTTCACATCTTTGCTATCATTTTCAAGGCCGTAATACACTACTTCTATCCCGACTTTGCTCTTTAATCCCGACTTTGCTCTTTGACTTTGCTCTTTTTCGCTAATGGGGCATTCTTCAGCGTCCACACTTTCACCATGAGCCCAGTCCAATCTTGTCGTAATCCCTCGATTAAAACCCTCTTTCTCTGTGGCTCAAATTTTCACAATATTGGATACCGTATCCAATGTAACAGTTGTCGAGAAAATTCTCTGTTG